AATGCAGCGGCAGCGGCGGCTGCCAACAACAACAACAACAACAACAACAACAACAACAGCCACATCTTTCATTCCTCCTTTCCACCATTATCATCACTATCATCATCACCCTCATCACCCTCATCTCTATCACCACCACTATCACCACTATCACCTTCATCAGCCGTCACCTCCTCGGCCTACCGCTGGAACACCACTACCACTTCCACCAGCGGAAGCGACTCAAGTGTAATTAACTTATGGGCGCCAGGGAATGGAAGTTCAGATAATTCCTCCTCCTCCTCCTCCTCCTTGGTCACCACCAACATCGTCACCGCCTTTAAGAACTTCCATGAAAACTCCTCTCGGACGATTGCCGACCTGCAAAGCCATCTNTCCTCCTCCTCCTCCTCCTTGGTCACCACCAACATCGTCACCGCCTTTAAGAACTTCCATGAAAACTCCTCTCGGACGATTGCCGACCTGCAAAGCCATCTCGGCAGCGACTGGAACGACTGGAGTTCATCTTCTGGAGAGAACTTTACCGGAGGTAGAGGTACCTCTATCACCTCCGACAGCTTCAGCTACTTCAGCAACACCGGTGGAAACTACACACCTTTTCTTAATGGAAGTTCAGGAGGTGTTAATCAACAGGAAGCCCTCCTCACCTGGTGGGACGTCTGGCTGGGCAAGCCCTTTCCGAGCGGGTACACCCAACTTGCCATCGTCCTCCTCGCCTTCTTCCTCACCTGCATTATGATCTTGGTGGTAGTTGGTAACCTGCTCGTCTGCATCGCCATTGCCACGGAGAAGTCCCTGAAGCCGGTCCAAAATTGGTTCATCGCCTCGCTGGCCGTCTCCGACCTGCTAATTGGCCTCGTCATCATGCCCTTCTCCCTCGCCCGCGAGCTGATGGGCTACTGGATGTTCGGCCAGATTTGGTGCGACGTCCACGCCGCCCTCGACGTCCTCCTCTGCACGGCGAGCATCAACAGCCTCTTCCTCATCAGCCTCGACCGGTACTGGAGCATCACCCAGGCGGTGAAGTACCTGAAGAAGCGGACGCCCTCCCGGGCCGCCTTCATGATTGCCTTTGTGTGGATCTTCTCCGCCCTGGTCTCACTTCCGCCTCTCGTCGGGTGGAAGAAGGCGGAGCAGAGCAGCGAGTATCCGCAGTGTAATCTGAGCGATGATATTGGCTATGTTCTGTGAGTACTTTTAAGTTTAAAACTTTCTTTATTCTAACTTCTCTTTTTATATTTGAAACAACAGCTACAGCTCCATCGGCTCCTTCTACTTTCCAGCGCTGATG